GTCGCGACAGAGTATCTCCTGCTGACATAGAGCTGGTGTGAACAGCGCAAAACTTGTGTTGCTCATAGGGGAGCTTTTTCACACTCCGGAGTGACGTAAGTTAGAGCAACTTAACTGGTAGTGTAGACCTGCCCTAAAGCTTTGTTAGAATATTATTCTAAAGCTATTTTAAGACATTACAGAAATATTTACACATACATATTTCTGTATATAGATATTCACAATGAGCTGCCAATCATAGCTGAACTGTATGTTGAAAACACACACACAAAAAAGAACAAATTTCTTTCAGCTGTGTATAATGCCCTGATTCAGGAAAGCACTTAAGCATGTGCTTAATTGCCTTCCTAAATAAGGGCCTTAGTAGGTATGTCTACACAGCCTGTGGCAGATCAGCCCCCTCCCTGGGCTTCAGAGCCCAAACTCCAGCCCCAGCCCTAGTGCTGCCTACACAGATATTTTTAGAGCACTAGCACGAGCTCCACAAGCCCCAGTCTGTCACTGCTGCAGGCTGTATAGACGTAACCGTAGAGACCACAGCCTGGAGCTAGCCAAAAGTCCATGAAAAATATGAATGCATTTTTAATTTCAAGTGAATCTTTTTTTAAAATAAATAAAATCCTACACACCCTCAGAACTGATAATGAAGTTATAGGTGACTGATGTTTTAAATTTTACTTTTATCCATTACAGATGTTAATAGGAAAGCAAATATCAGAGATTTGTAAAAAATACTATAATTAGAGGACCACTGAGTCACCTTTGTACTCAATTCCCTTTGAAAAGGCTTGCTCAAGATTGAAAAATTCATTACCCTAAATGAGGTCCTCCATTCATTAAATCAAACACCTGAGCTGGATTTAGCGACTGTTTGAATCGACGAAGAAACTTTACTCCCTGATTGTCTCCACTCTTTGAGTTAACAAAAACTAAAAGAGGACTGGCACAGGATGGCGGGCATGTGGCTTTCCAAAATCCTGTGAACAAAGTTAGAAAGAATGAAATAAATAAGATCTTTATATATGAACACATTCAAGCGAAATCACGAGAAAGGAGAGGAAAAGGATGAAAGGACAAAAGGGATGCAATCATACGACGCATAATGCAAAAACTGAACTGAGTATTAGCCTCAAGGAGAATAGCAATGTTATATTAAAACTACTTCAGATTTACTACTCTGTTTTTTGTCTCCCGGATTTTTATCTGAAATTTTGTCTACATTTAGCAAAACACAAAAGAAAATAGCTTTATTTTCCACAGCAAAAAGGTGGGTTGATGGAATGTTTCAATTTTTTCCAGCACACATCACCATAACATCAAATACATTTTCCAGATATAAACCATATTTTTTTCTGACTTGTTGTTTTTAAAAGCTTCTATCAAGTTGCACCACATTGCAGTAGTGTCAAATTGAGCCCTACAATCTACAAAAGTTCCATTCCCACCAAATTTAAGAACCCCCATACATTTCCACTAAATGTTACATTGTTAAATTACTCCCAACGGAGACTTTGCATAAAAACTTTTATTTCAGACTGAATTTATACAGTTGAGTTATAATGGAAGGACAGAACAACACCCTCTTACAGTCTGATCCAAAGCTTACTGAAGTCTTTGCAAGACTTTCAATTGTCTTTAATGGGCTTTGGGTCAGGACTTTAGTAAACAGTGCTAATGGACAGTGTTGTCATGAAAATCACATTCATTGAGGGCCCAATGGGAGTTACGGCTGCTCAGCACCACTTTGAATCAGGCTTTAGGTGACCAGGTTTCGACTCTTATTTCAGGCAAGAATAAAGTAATTATCTCTTTTTAATTGTCTAAAAACAAATCTGAAAGCTAAAAATCTTATCAATTCTGATGAATTAGAAAAAATTAACTTTGAAAGTGTAAGAAGTTTAATATAATTCCACTTTCTATTAATGCATAATTTAAAACAATATTATTTTTGACTGGTAAGCAATCTAATTGCACTAATAATGAAAGCAATCTTCTTAGCATGAATAATAAATAGCAGCAATTTCACTGCTTCAGCCAAAGACATTAGACAGTAAGTTTACAGTCAGTGAACATCTCCAGTATTCACAGTCATTTATATCAATCCCATACATAAAAAAAGTGCCTAACTTAGAGGTAAGGTAGTTGGGTTGCATATGCCACCAACATAAACTATATAAAAAAAATGAAATAAAACAGTTTAGTTTCTCAGCACTCCACTCAACAATTCATCTTCCCAACCTCAACTTCACCTTCTTTCCTGCACCTACAGTCAAGCTCATCTCGATCCTGAACAACCAATGAGCACATTTCAATTTTCACTATCTTTAATGGTGATCTGTTCATGTTTCAATGACTAACATAGTGTTTCTGATTAAAATAAAATTTTGATAGAAAATGGAAATGATATTTTTTTATCCTCAAAAACATCAGAAGAGAGTGCATCTGAGGAGTTCAGTAAGCTAATCTTTGCGTAACACAAAACAGTGATTTGGAGTTAAAGAAATCATTCTTTGTGTTTTTCGAAAGTGGGCCATGTCAGAATGCATGTGTGTGAAGTTTTCAAGGACTCTGGTTGTTTAGCTGGCGGATCCCAGAGAAACATGAGGAGAACAGAAAAATTTTAAAGGGGGAGCATTTAAAAATATTTCCTCTGCAAGCTATTATGTACTTTTCTAAAATATAATTACATGGAAAATTCAATTACCATCTGAAGAGTTATTGTGCTAAATTTGGAGACTAAATTTATCTGAGAAAAAGAGGGATTTTAGTCCTGCTTCAGGTAGAAATCTCAGTGAAACCATAACTATAGAATACCTACTAATGGCCCTGTTATACTACGTACCATCAGAATCTATGCTGTTGAGTGCTGTTGGAGGTATGATGGATACCTTACATTGTCCAAGCGGACATTTTCGAGGATACAGATCTTTACAGGCAGTGTGAACCTGAGGAAAAATAAGTTAAATAAATGTTTCCCAACATTTAATCTGATTTTATGGTAAAATTGCAATAGATACAGTAGCTAGATATTATTCAGAGATGGGGTAATATATAACAGACTATATTGCAGTATATTCAAACATATACAAACATTAAACCATAGATTGTTTAGTTATCTATTTCTAAACAAAATATTCTGAATGCACTACGATACTTAAAAATTCTGCAGATTTCCCACTTCGAGGAAAAGCACCTCGAGAATTACAGGACGCTAACAAAAGATAAAGGCATCAAGGGAAGAAATGCAATTATATATTGATGAGAAGACAGTGATAGAATGATGGAGAATTTAAATCTATACCACATGAAGAATAGTACAGAAGATAGGAACCAGGGTAACAAAGTCTCAGCAGTTATATATTTCAGAATAGATTAGGACAATTAGATTTATATTTATTAGAAGAGACTAGGAAGCGAAAATGAAAGACATACATATAATTATAAGGGGCACAGAGTATGCCACCAACTATTCAAGCAGATGAGCTGCTCAAATCACAAGGGGTCTCTAGTACAGGATGAAGTACGAAGGGCCTGATCCAAAGCCCATTGAGGTAAAAGCAAAAAGTCTCCCCTTGATTTCATTGAGCTTTGAACCATGGCCTCAGGGAGTTAGGAGAAATGCAAAGGATAAATGATACATAGCAAGGACTATTAAAGAAAAACTTCTATTTGTTGACCTATTAAAACAACAGACAAGTGGGACAGACATTCTAGATTACGAATGTTACTGATCTGTCCAACTCACTCTCCATGAGCTGCCTGGTCCCCTTCCCTTCCAAAAGGTTAAGTAATAGAAAAGTAAGAATAATGGGTAAATAATCATCCTGGCAGAATCCAAGACATTTTTACAAGTCATATGGTACCTACCATAGCTTTACACCAAAGGCACTTCCAATCTTGGAGGCGTAAAACGCTGCCACAGGTCTTGTCGCAGACAGCACATTTGGCACTGACAGGCAAATTACCCTCCAACCATTGGTGAGGCATAGCTATCTGTGAGGAAGTTGTTATAAAGTTAAATGCCATGGCACGGAAACTTGCCATTAAAACTACAAAAAGATCAGTAATTCAGTGTCCTCCTGAAACTTTCCTCTGATTTACTCTTTGCACCAATATCTAGATATGTAAATTTCTGTATGCGTGCATATTTTTGGCAATTCTAACACTAATCTTCTAGATAAGAGTTTCATGCCAGTGGCTGTAAAATTAACTCATCTCCTTTGACACAACTCAGACAAAAAGTGTGTTACATTTTCTACTTTTAATTTTAACTCTTACATGTATCAATAGGACTACTATCTCTATGTCAATGAATTCCAAACAGATCTTCTGGGGAACTGGTGTCACTTATAAGTAGACAAAGCAGGCCGAGAAAACAGCATATCAACAAGACTAACACAAATACACCTTCTTCGCTCAAGTAGGAGAGAAAGGGGCTTCTCACAGCAATTCTCAAAGCTCAGAGAATCCATCCATACTTCCTCCAGAATTCTGTAATATGGAATTCTTCCCTCTAGAGCCCATTGATGGTAAATGTGTCTCCTGAAGAGCCCCTGAATTTTAATATAGTATCTATAGCAATACAGCCAACTACCATTCACTTTAATGGGTCATATGACAACATTTCTATACTGGCCAATTAAAAAATAAAATAAAATAAAATAAATAAAATAAAATACCCACCAAACAATTAACTGTTGTGAAGTATTGAAAGCCTGAATAATACTTACACCATCTTCATCCTCAATGATATCTTTCCCAATGGAGGCTAACGTAGTCCACTTGCAATTATTTGTTGCCCTGACTGCACACCTTTTATGTGCTTTAAATTTACACACTAGAAGAAAGACACAAATGTACTTTATATTAGCTACTCCCTGATTGCAGTCTCTGTAAAGTATTACATCAACAGTTACGTTTTCAGAAATTCAGTCAAATGCAAATCCCTCGATAAAACAGAGGAGTACATGTTCACTTACTGTTTCAGACAAAACACAAACCAGTTAAAATAAAGAAAATTCAGAGTTCAAACTCATTCTACCTTTTACTTGCTGAACTGTGTCTAGGGATTACATACTGCTGTTTGCTGGCTGCAAGATTACTCACTATTCTTTAAGATCTACAGACATTAAAACATGGAATGGCAGTCTTGTGTCTTCTTGCTCTTGTCAATTATTCATATGTAAACTTTAGTTATTTTAATGACTTTTTAAAAAATGCAATTCTTTTATACTGTAGCTTTTAAAAATATCTTCCATTGACATGATAAAAGAGACAGCACAAATCTCTTGCTCAATATATTTTGAATGCAACCCTCATTACAGTTATCCATGGCTTTGTCACCTTGAAACTGAATTACTGCAATTGGAATACTCTGCATGGGGTTATATTTGGAGACCATTTGGAAACTTTAGCAGATGCAGGATGCAATAGTCAGTTTGCTTAGTTATTCAGGGAAGGAGCCTATTATAGCTGTTCTCTGAGATTCACATGGGCTCCCAATTAATTTCCAAGTGCAATTCAATGTACTTATTTTGACCTATAAAAATGTAATTGTTTGGGTCTTGGCTACCTGAGAAATTGTCTCTCTCTTTGTGTGACATAGCAGTAGCTGAAATCACCTGAGGCATTTGAACAGCTAGAGCTCTGGTTTAAATGTGAAGGAAATGCTTGCAGGGCATTTCCAGAGAAGGAATTTTATACTGGAGCAAACTTTTCTCTTTGTCCAACGCAGCCCTTTGTGGCACAATAGAACTGTTTCCAGTTTCCGTAGACTTCTGAGAAGGAGGAGGATTAGGAGGGTATGTGTCTATTCAGTAGAATGGGAGTTATTGTTGAGTCTCATAGGTTACCTGGGTAAGGACAAACCCAATTTTTAATAGATTTATTTTAAAAATCCATAGTTGTTTTAATGTATTATACATATGCCTCATGCATGTGGTTTGTTATTTTAAAAGTCTGAATAATTTTTATTTTGTTTGATATAATTCGCATACCATGTAATGAAATCATATTGTACCAAACAGACTGATGGATTACAGTTGAGTCTTTACGTTAGTGGAAGTGTATGAGATCATTCCATGTATAGAACTTTATATTTGCAATAACCATAAAAGCTTTATAAGAGCACGGGCAGTAGCAGTAGTTTCTTTGCAAACAAATATAACTATCAAATGCTTTGGCCCAACATTTGTCCAAGATTAAAAGTGCTAAAATCTGGCACAAAAGGTCCCTCTGGAGTCTGGACCACACATTTATTTATATTTTTAATACCATTGTTCCATTGCCAGATTTTAAAAAAATGAACAAGGCCTTTGCTCCTGCCTTGGCAGGGACTGGGAGAACAGGAAGGCATATGGTCCACCCACAGAAGAACAGAAGGAGCATCCCAGTTGCTCTCTAGCAATCCCCATGGCTATTTCAAAAGCAACATTCATGGGCTCCAGCAGTACCTATGTCTCTCCCTCCACAGCCAGACGAATAGGGCCAGATTCTCAAAAACGCTCAGCACCCACATTGGTGCCAGATTTCCAGAGTGCTCAGCTCCCCTTAAGGCACAGAAATAAGGGATGGATTTTCAAAGTGCTCGGCACTCTGCACTTTCCACTGGAACAGCCTGGGACACACTTTCCAAAGAACTGAGTACCTCCTGTGCTCAGCTCACTTGAAAATCCACCACTTAATCTGGCATCTGAATGGGAGCTAAGCACTTCTGAAAATATAGCCTTGACAGTGGGTGCTGAATGCTTTTGAAAATCTGGTCCATGAATATGGGGTCATGAGAACAAGAGCAGCACTAGACACAGTGATTCACACTTTTGTCACCTGCAAGCTGGTCTACTGCAGGCATCCTTGTGGCACCTTATTTGGGCATAAGCTTTTGTGGGCTAGAACCCACTTCATCAGATGCATGGAGTGGAAAACACAGTAGCAGGTATATATACACCAGGGGTCGGCAACCTTTCAGAAGCGGTGTGCCAAGTCTTCATTTATTCACTTTAATTTAAGGTTTCACGTGCCGGTAATACATTTTAACGTTTTTCAGAAGGTCTCTCTATAAGTCTATATATTATATAACCAAACTACTGTTGTATGTAAAGTAAACAAGGTTTTCAAAATGTTTAAGGAGCTTCATTTAAAATACTGATCTTAAGACACCGACATGCTCAGCCTGCTGCCAGCCTGGGGTTCCGTTCACCTAGGCTGGCACAGGGCTGAGCGGGGCCTGCAGCCGGGACCCCAGCTGGCAAGGGACCGGCAGCCAGAAACTCAGGTTGGCAGCGGGCTGAGCGGGGCCAGCGGTTGGGACCCCAGCTGGCAAGGGGCCAGCAGCCAAAACCCCAGACCGGCAGCGGGCTGAGAGGGGCCAGGGGCCGGGACCCCAGACCGGCAACGGGCTGAGTGGGGCCGGCACCCCAGACCGGCAGCGAGTCGAGCAGCTCAGCCCGCTGCTGGTCTGGGGTTCCATCCGCTGGCTCCTGCCAGCCAGGGTCTCAGCCGCCGTCCCCGCTCAACCCGCTGCCTGTCTGGGGTTCTGGCTGCCGGCCCCTTGCCAGCTGGGGTCCCAGCCACCGGCCCCGCTCAGCCCGCTGCCAACCTGAGTTTCTGGCTGCCGGTCCCTTGCCAGCTGGGGTCCCAACCGCTGGCCCCGCTCAGCCCGCTGCCCACCTGGGTTTCTGGCTGCCGGTGCCCTCGCGCC